ATTGTTACGTATGTACATTTGCCACTGCCCCCCAGGAGTTGGAGATTTTGAAAATACAAATGGACCCCACTTGCCCCTCCCATCTTTACTTATTACTCTCTCTACCCATTGGATGTTAAATTTCAGGGAAAGATTGGTTGACAACATATTGTGAATGAATAGTAAAAAACAACATGACGTGACAGGCTGACTTTGGTGGAAATGGGGTCCAGCTCCGGAGAACGCAGTCATGGGAAAGGAAGTGGGATTGAGCCAAATGAACTTTGTTGGTCAAATTGCCCTTAGTTCATCCCTCAGCTGTTTTGATTTTGTTAATCCAGTCCCTCGTTAATTTACTTTGTTAACGTGACCGTTGTATTTTTTATATATATTTTGTAAGAGGGACCTTACGTGTTATCAAATTTATTCTAATTTCTGCGTAACAAATGTTGCATTGTACCAATTAAAAGTTGCAACAATTCACTAACATAAATCTTATAATTATCACTGGCAGATATATTTTTCACAAAATTAGTTAACATAAAACACATTTAATTTTTAAAATCCTCTTCCATCCAACTTTCCTATCTTCTCTCTTTCCCTCCTAAAACTAACCCGCCACTGCCCACACTAGGAAACGCCTCAGCCCATTATGAATTTAATTTTTAAAATTCAACTCTTACAACATATTTTAATTTTTAAAATATAAATGCCTTTTTATTTATTTTTATTTTTATTTTTTGAATTTTTTGTGCTTTTAGTGGATTTGGTTGTTATCAATTAATCTGTAATGTATAGTTCCTTAATGTCTCAAAGTACATGGAAGAATTTTATTTGCATTTAACTTGAATATATGGTTATAAAAATCACAAAATTGCAATGCAAGATAGAAAGACAAGAAGAGAGTAGTAATCAATATTGCGAGAAAGAAATTTTAAAAATTAAAATGAGCTGAGTTGAGGCATTTTCTAGGTTGGAGGTGGTTATACCATTATGGTGGGGTTTTTAATTGTAAATTTTGCTCATATTTTATAACTATTTGATAATGTCAAACACTTAGTATCAAATTATGTAATTTAGACACTAAGTTATTGGTTTTTAAGTAAAATTGATTTAATTTTTCTAATTGTCATTATATATAACGAGTCAACTTACTTAGAATGTCAAAACGACTAAAACGATTTCATTTTGACATGTCGTCGTTAATTAAGTTTAGGTACAAAATCCACTTAAAGGAGGAGTTAAAAAAAACTTCCTTTGTGTAGACAATTTTATAAAGTTGGTTTTCTGAATAAATGATGGAAATGCATAAGTAATTTCGAAAACAATATGTGGATATTTCTAATTCAATCATTTTGTTTCCAGTTATCTAGTTATTCTATAGTAATAATATTATTATTAATTAATTAAAATCATTAATAAGAAATAATAATATATATGAAAAAATATCACGTCAAATAGAATTTGAACCTATACGAAAGGTGTAGAAGACCTCTATCCTATCTATTAGACAATGGACGCTTTTCCATTCCAATTTTTTCACTTTCTTTTATTTCTTTCGCATCTCTTGGTCATAAATCTTTCTCTACACTATCAAGGATCTTCGAACAGTGAAATCATGTACGCTTTTTGGCATGATTATGTAAGAGTAATGATCTATCTGAACTCGTGAAATAGCAAGATTTTATAGCTTTTGCAAACATGACACATCACGGGATTTCTACCCTTCACATGAGTAAACTAGCATCATCGGGGTCAGCTTTTAACTCTGTTAAAATTACTAATAGAAGGGTTGATCCTGATACGGAAGCGAAGGTTTTGGGCTAAGAGGATGAGTCCAGGGAGTGTCTATGGCCCATATCCTCTCTTTTATTGGACATGAAGGCCTAATGTTCAGCAGATGGACTTGGTAACGCATAGCTAAACTGAAGTATCAATTTGGGCCTGAATAATATTGGTCTTTGGTTGTTTCTTATCTGGTCCTTTTGTTCCTCCCTCTGGATAATGCGGCTTCTTTGTGATTACCTTTTCTACTGGGGTCAACTCTGAAATATATCATTTTGGTGAAATTATATGACCCAGAATTCCCTAAATTATGCTTTCATTAATTTTATATTCTAGACAATATAAAGGATAACAAAATAAAGTCGTCATAGATATCTTGTCAATGAAAAACTTGCAAGGAACTAATATAATTCTCACACTAAAAAATGACAGGTTTCTAAAACGATCTTGTAAATGACATTCTAACAATCTTTCAGTCATCTTGAATACGTTTTCTACAAGAAAGAGTGTGCACTGAACAAAACAAAGAGGGCATCCTGGCTAGCTTTTTTTTCTTTTTTCGGTAGGTGGAGAGAATAAAAGTCAGAGAAAATGACTTTTTCTTACTTTGAATATTTGGAGCTAGGGTGCTTGGCCCACTATATATATACATATATACATATATTAGATAATCATGCAACTGCCATATGGTTTAATTAATTTTTTAGACCTTAAGTAAAAACATAGCCAACCAAATTTCAATCCAAGGGAAGTCAGCAGAGGTGATGCTGATGCCATAGTTTCTATGTTAAATTATTTGGATTATGATTAGTTTGAGCAGTATTTAGTGCCTTTATCGGAGAAAATACATGATCAAAAAGTGAAGTTTTGAATAAGAGAATATTGCGGATTTCGTATTAGAGGTGTTAACAAATATCTTATAGCAAAAGCGAAAGTACTAATGAATCAAAAGTAACATATTGATGCTTTTAGTTTTTGGAAATTTTAACAAAAAAGGAAAAAAAGAGAGAGAGAGAGAGAAGAATGTACTTTACTTAATTAATTGCAGTTATTGATTATATTCATTTTTTATTTAAATTCAGATTATTTTATATGTTTCGAGTTAACTTTTATTAATTTTCAAGAATCGTATATCTTTTATTGAGTTTTATTCTAAACCATACACATGACATAATTTCTACCATTCATTGGAGCCGACATTTGGTCAGCCTAATGAATTTACATGACAGACATGAACCGACGGTTTCAATTCTATCGAAATCATTAATAGAAAGATTGAACAGAGAAGTCAGCATCACCACGAAAACGGAAGTAAGAGGACCAGCAGAGATTAATGAAGTAAACGATACGGTCATATCCTTTCTTTTTTCAGACATTGTTTCGTAAAATTCAACAACTGGATTTAGTAACGCACAACTCAACTGAAGTTTGGGGTTTGGGCTTTTACATATTGTTCTTTTAAAATACATCTTTTTAGTAAAATTAGATGAATCAAAATTTCGTAAAAACGCTTCCATTTTAATTTAGTTCATACCTACAAAAGTTTTTCCTTCTTCTATAGCTGGACTAGTGAAGCAAATGACTGAATTTTAGAAATATAAAGGATGAGAAAATAAGATCCTTACTCTAGAGATGCTGTGAATTAAACTTGCAAGAAACTAATATAATTCTCATTCTGAAAAACGCTAGGTTTACAATAATAACCACCCTTAGTTTGAACCATGCAGACCTGTAATGGCAGTGTGGATGAGGCCCATGACATCATAAAAGTCAATCAGTCATTACTTAAGGTATCGAAGAAATGTAAAAGAAACAGAAGTTGCCACTTGCCAGCCGAGTGGCTTGGGTTGGATTCGTCTTCCACAAGAAAGAGCTTGCGCCGGTCGAAACAGAGATGACATTTTAGCTATTTTGCTACGGATCGAACAAAAGGAGAAAATGACATCTTCTGATTACAATATATACATGCAACTTTCATATGCTTTATTATTCAAATTTTAAACCTTAATTTAAAAGATAGATAATCAAATTTAGAAGAATCCATCAGAGATGATGTTGATGCCACCTACATGTAGATGTAAAATGAGTTAAAGATCGAGAATATCTTTCTACTGTTTTATTTATCTTAATCGCATCTTTTTATTAACTTTTTTTAACAATTATGTTTTTTTACTTCTAATTCGTGCTTGAATTTCAACCTTTCATTCAATTTTTCAGGCAACAACAACAATTTTTGGCTTATGGTTGACATAATGCTGACATGCGTATTAATTTTTTTAAAAAAATCAGAATAAAATAAAAAAAATCTGAAAAAAATTAAAAAATTAAAAAAAATCTCAAAATTCCCTTCTTTTCCTTTATTTTTATGTATAGAAATAAATAATTAATTTCACCCCTCAAACTTTTTTTTTCTGCTTTCTCTCAAATTCAAATAAAAAAATTCAATTTTTATGAATAGGAAGGAATAGAAGCAACTTTTTTTTTTTAGAAATTTATTATGAAGATTTTTCTAGTTTTGGATTTAAGAGAAATTTTCATAATAAATTTTTGAAATAAACAAAAAAAAATTTTCTTCTATTCCTTTCTATTCATAAAAAAAATTTCTTTTTTGGTTTGAATTTGAGAGAGAGAAAAAAATTGAGAGGTGAAGTTAATTATTTATTTCTATGCATAAAAGTAGAGAAATTAAGGAGAATTTTTTAGATTTTTTTTATTTTTTTTCAGATTTTTTAGGATTTTTTTTCAGATTTTTTTTTTGAAAAATTTAATGTCACGTGTTAGCGTCTTATTAGTCTTAAGTAGAAAATTGTCATCTGAAAAATTGAATGAAGAGACGAAATTCAAATGCCAATTCAAAACAGAGAGATGTGATTATTAAAAAATTTAATACGAAAACACGATTAAAATAAATAAAAAAATAGAAGGACATTTTGGACTTTTAACCCAAAATAAATTGGGTCCTATATTGAAATTGGATAAACTTAAACGACTACAGAAAACAATTGGAACACTCAAAAGTTACAACCAATAATTGATTAACTAGGGGATTAAAACATTGATATGAAATAAATTAATCTAAGCACAAGGACAATTAGAGTTGTTCATATAAAACAAAAAACACTTGCACATCGACATTCTTCTTTAGTATGTTCTTTTCCCTAGTATTTTGTGAACCACTACTACCACACTTAGGGTATGGACCGGTACCCCCCTAAGAAAGGGGACCAAACGAGTCCTTATTCAATTTTCACAGTCTCTTCAGCTTGTTTTGGGATTGGAAGGTGACCCTTTTCCTGCAAGCACTTAACAGTTTCATACAGGCACTGCTTCACTGGGGTGAATTCGAGGCCCAGGTCCTTGAGCTTCTGGTTTGTGAACTTGTAAGGTTGTTTTCTTGGGTTCTTCTCATCTGAGCACCTGCAAATACATCAAAATACAATTAGTCTTTTGCTATTGTTTTTAACATTCAAAAACCTTAATTAATTTTTGTTCAAAATTGGTAGGTTTATTAAAAAAAAAAAAAAAAAAACTGTTTCTTATAACCTAGCAACCCTACTAGGAACATTCGTTCAACTAGTCTAATCTTAAACATTAGACTTTAAGTGTAGCGTACAATTGTATGAGATATAGGTAGGACCCAATATACTCTTCCTAAACTCTCCACGACAAAATTTCATAATAAGATCTTCTAATCCAATCATAACATGGGTTGGCAGAGAAACTCGTTTTGGTCCAAATCTGACAAAGACAATGCGGTTGGTGAGGATCCTTTTGGTCCACTAGTATTGTCAATCATGTGGCTTTCTTTGCTGATGATTCCAAAAAAATATGCTTATTTATGATTTTTGGTTAAGGTTAGTAGATAAGTCAAAGTTGGTACAACAACTGCGTCACCATAACATGAACCAAAGAGGGGAGACCACAGCTTTACCCATTCAATAATTCAAAAACAGGATCGTATTTAATATGTTTTGCCGTTTTCTTCATGGCATATATTCATATTTTCAAACGCCATTCCCAGCTTTGTTTTTTCTTTTTTCTCCCTTAAAAAAAAAAACAGATTTCATTTTTATAGGTACTTTTTTGAGTGACTAGGAAGTTACCACACATGATTTAAAACTAAACTGAAACCGAGAAAAAAATATATACGATGGAGAAAAGACTGTTAAAAACTCAAGTCATCCCAGCTTTCTGGTAACAAACAAATAAATATTCCAGTTAATGATTGGTAAATAAATAAAAAGAACGAAAATCCAGTAAAAGGAAGAAACATAAAATGTCATAATTTGAAAATAAGGGAGCACTCCAATGTTTATTACAGTTCACATGAATTGTGATTGAAAAATGAAAATATAAGCATTTTTACAATCAAGAGCACATGTTGATTCACTGCATCAGTTTTTGGAAATTCATTTCTTTACTATAATTATAACAAGGCAGAAAATCCTTTTCTTTATTTTTATTTTTTTTTCTTATTTTGGCCAGGAATAGGTACAAGGGATCAGAAAACTGTCGTGCGACAAGAAGGGAGAATATTATTCTTTTAATCATTGTAGTTGGTGGGAAGTTTCTACTATCCGCCTACTTCCAAAATCTTCTACAACTAGTACAAAATCTTCCCCCATTTGTTGCACTAATTTGCATTTTTTTTTTTTTAAGGATTAAAGGTCAACGAGAAAGTAAAATATAAAAAGCCTTAAATTTACTTTCTTAAGATCATAAATATAATTTTGCTCAAGTATGATGTCAAGGAAAATAGGGAAAAAACCAATGAAAGTGGTAGTAAGGTAGGTATAATGCCTACTACTCAGAGAAACAAGATGATTTTAGGGTCTTCTAATTTAATCAGATTGCACCAACATGGCAAACGGAATATGATGAGAGAATGAAAAGATTGAAAGCAGAGTTTGCTATGGTTACTTCAAGACTTTATAATTATAGTGTTTTTAAGTTTACAAGTAAATATTTATTAGTTTGGAATCACTTAAAAAATAATTTCTTTGCTACTTAAATAGTTTTTTTTTTTTCTCTTCTCTAAGGCAAGAAGAAATTTTTTTTTTAATTAAAATTGTACTTAATTTTTCATAACTATCATAATTCCCAAGCAATTAGCTAAATTAAAAAAAAAAGTTTATACAATTTATTGGTGCATGTACCTTTTGAATCGTAATTATACGATATTATTAATAATTAGCACAATCACAAAATAATTAGTCAAGTTATTCGAATGGTGAGATGAATTATTAAGATACAATAAATAAAAATATTTAATAGTTTGTAATTGGAAGATGTTATAATTATAATGCCTCGAAGTAACTTTAGAAATTGCAGATTGAAAGCAATAAATTAGAAACCAAACTCCAGTTAGTGTGACCATAACGCAAGATATATGTGGCCCAAAAACGAAGCCCCATCTTATGGAGGAAGTGCTTGATTTAAAGTTTCGGTTGGAAGGATTTGAACCTATAATAAGTAATCATTAGTGCATGCCTTAATCTTTAATGCTTTTATGATCACCTAATACTAGATTACTTTACGTTTTTCCACTATTTAGTTTCTGAAAAAACAATTGAATTGAGATTGGTTGGTGGGTCAAGACAAGTTATATTGCATTGGAAAGGTCAACCATATACTAACCTTTCGATTAAAGTAATTTTTCAGAAGTTATGACTTGGGGATATTGTAGAGTTGTTGAAGATAAAATAAGTAAGAACTTACTTGGTGGGGATGGGATACTCAGGGAAGAATTTTGCAAGGATTTCCACCACCTCTCCACGGTGGAGAACTCTCTCAGCACAGAGGTAACGGCCAGAGGCGGAAGGTGTCTCGAACACTAAAATATGGGCTAATGCCACATCCCTAACATGCACATAAGCTTGAATGGAATTAGCATATGTCTTGGCTGAGCCGGTTAGGTACTTGAGGATGTGAATGGTGCTAGCATTGACAGTGGATTGCAACAATGGTCCAACCACCAGCACCGGGTTCACCACCACTAGGTCCACTCCTTTCTCCTTAGCCATATCCCATGCAGCCTGTTCTGCCACAGCCTTTCCATAGCAATACCAATTCTGCAATTCCATTTCATATAATTAAGTTGGTCTCTTCCACATTAATAATCAAAAGGATACCATAGGAACATCTCTATACCTACTCTATGCATGCCTTGGCACCAATACACGTGTTGATTACTGTTCCAATGTTTAAGGATAGAATAATAGAATTGCTATCAGAACTGGGGTTAGATAAAATGTGACTCATTGACATTTTTGGTAAGACAATTTTCAATTATAATTAGGCAACTTGACCACAACAGGTTAACAGCTACACCTATCGAATTTCCAAGAAACATGCACGAAAGTTCTTGACAAATGCTGTATCTCTTTTTAAATTGGCATTGCCATTTATTCTCGACCGTCTAAGTTGTACAGAAAATTCTTCGTTCAAACTCAGCACTAATCAGCAAGAAGGCTCTAAAACAAATTAATTTGCTAGCATTTCTGAGCTAAAACATCATAAATAATAACATAGTATTTGATTAACTAAATACCTTGGTGTTCTTGCAATACTCAAGATCACTCCAGCAAGACTCGTCAACAACAACATCAGGGCCCCTATTGGGGTCCATGTAGACGGCGCCAATTGATGACGTGAACACCACTCGTCGGGCTTTGGCCTCAGCCGCTGCCATGATCACATTCTGGGTCCCTTTCACCGCCGGCTCCACCATTTGTTCCTTTGGCACACAAAATCATCCCATCAAAACCACCACACAGATTATTTTTTACTATTCATCACCATCAATAACTAAAATGTATACAAATTTCGCTGACGTGGAAAGTTTAGGTAAGGTGGGTCCTACTAAAGAGCAATACAGCACTAGTTGGATAATGGACCCCTCACCAACAAAGTGAATTTGCTGGTGACATACAACAGTCAAGCCTAACATTTGTACTGTTTATTTTCTTTCTTAACATTCTCAGAATCCAAACAAAGAATTTACTAATAAAAAACGGAAAAAAAAGGAGGAAACATACTGGGTCATCTGTGACAGGAGAAGCAGTATGGAAAACCCCATCGCACCCTTGAATAGCCTCTTTAAGAGACTCGTAATCAAGAAGATCAGCTTTGCATAAAGTTAATCTTTCTTCAGCCCCTTCAAGCTCCCTCAGATGAGAATTCTTGGGATCAGCTGTACGTAGTTAACAACAGAAAATCAGACCATATATACACAACCATCTTAATTAAAAAGAAAAAGAAAACAAGTGCTTAATTAATTATTAATTAACTAACCTGGGTTTCTCACAGTTCCTTTAACAGCGTAACCTTTCTCTAAAAGAAGTTTAACCATCCATGAAGCGATGAAACCACCAGCCCCGGTGACACAGACAGTTTGGCCTTGGCCTGAAAGTGATGAAGTATCAACAGGCATGTTGTTATATTCGAATATGTATTATGGATACGTGTTTGGTGGCAGAAAGAGAGAAAGAGAGAAGAAACAGAGAGAAAGAGAGCAAGAGAGACAGAGCGAGATCAGAAGTATTTTCTTCTTGTCTTGGTTTAAAAAGTCTACAAGGAAAGAAACGGGGGAGTGGATACATTTATAAGGTTGAGATTTACCATACTCACCTACTTCCGGTAAATATTTGGCAGAGAGATTCTCTCTTTGTTTTTCTTTTTCTTTTTTCTTTTTCTCCTATTTTTTGCAATACGAATCGTCAACCCCATGTCACATGTTTTGAATTTTTTTATAGGAGTTTTTTTTTTTTTTTTTTGTCTTTGATGGTTACAGAAACCTTGCTTCTCTCCAACCTCCAGCTAATCTTGTGTGTTAATTGGATTTAATCCTGTCTCTTAAAAGAATTGACGAATAACTAATTTCCGTTGATTATTAATTAATACCCCTAATTAAACTTATATGGAATACTAATTGTTTTATCTGCGTATTTTTTTACCAAACGTGCATGTTGTACTTGACCCACCTCTCATTCTCTCCTCCCTCTCTTTTGCTTTTACATGTACTAATTTATTTTTTATGGTAACTTGCAAAAAATTAAGAAATGAAAACATATATGGGCATAATAACACAAAGACCATATGAGGTAAGGATTGGTTTTAGACGACATGGCAATGATGACAAGCGTTCATGTTGGAAAATCCAGTGATCATTAACTACAAAAATGGCGTGATAAACACATAGCATTTCTTGGCAAATTAAACAAAAAATGATATGCCCGGTTTTGGTACTTTACTATTAAAAATCGAACCCAAAGCGTTGTTTTATAGTTTTAGATGGAATTCATGTAAGATGACAATCCTTTATATATGATAGCTTATTTAGAATTTTCCTAATTAGTCGTGTTAATTTCCTCCAATTAAGGAGATCATGATAAAACAAAACAAGAAATTATTCCACTAAGAAGATCAAGAAATTGTTAAAAAAATGTCATAATCCAGTAATAGATACATATTCGCTGGATGCATCGCTACCCTTGTATAAGAGGGAGGAAATCTCAAGTTCAGGTATGAGAATAGGATTTAATGCTAAGAAATCAAGAAAACGTGATGGGTACATAAGATATTCTGACCAGTTTTAATTAAAAAAAAAAAATGAGTCAAAAAATTAATGGCAATGATGATGCTAAATGGGTTAAATCTTTTCTAAACTTTAACTCATTTAAAATTGAGTCATTGAATTTCAAATTTAGTTTCTAGATTTTTAAATTTTAATTTTTTAAGATTTAATCTATTTTTTAATTTTTTGGTATTTATTTTAAAAAATAACAATCATATAAATACTATATGATGAAAATCATTCAGTAAATTTTATACGGGACTCTTAAAAAAAATTGAGATCATTTATTATTATTATTGTCTTAATTTTCTACATTTTTAATGTTCAAAAAATAAACAGATATATTTTTTTATTTTGAAAAATTCTGAAATTTTTCTAGAAAATGTATTGAATTTTCTATATTTTTTTAAATGTTCAAAAAGGATAATTTCTAGAAATTTTTTTTCTAATGTGAGTGCAAAACTTGAGCTCAAAATACCAAGATTTGAATTTTTTAAAATAAAAGGTTTATAGGTAAAAATCATTGGATAGACTAAATCTTAAAAAATTAAAAGTTTAGAGATTCCAAAAACTAAATTTTAAAGTTTAAGAACTTAATTTCAAATGAGTTAAAATTTAGAAAAGATTTGATCCATTTAGTCTAAAAATAAAATTTTTTAAAAATCGTATAGTTTTAACTTCCGATTGATTTTTGAGATGAAAAGGTTGCAGGTGATTTTATTTGATTTAATTGTAAAGAGTTTTTCGGATAGTTAAGATATGCTTGTTTTCTTTTTGTAACACCCCCAACCTAGGACCTAAAAGATTGAGAATATTATCGCCGTTAACCCATATTCAAATTGCAATGAATGCAAGCTAACAAGGCACCGTGACTTAATCTTCATGTCTAAAGTGAAATCTATTTTTAAAAAATCTAATATGAGGTCCTATACTTTAACTTAAAAGACGTTGTAAATTTTTCGTGTTTGATCGATTTACTCGGATACTTGAAACTAGATTTGAGGTTATTTGCTAGTTCAAATCCTTTCTTTACCAACTAGTGAATTACCGAGATGTAATTCCTTATTATCAATTATTATGATATTACTTATTCTTTTTCATTTTTACTATTCTTTTTATTTAACGATTAATTAAGAAATTCTCTTGAATAATCAAGGATGCTAGCATGCAATGGGCAATTTAAATTAACTACACTACTATTAGTACATTATCATTTTACTATCGGTATTACGGTTAATATAGGTTACTAATTTACATACAAAACTAAGTATGTCCACCTAAATCCCGAAGCCCCATCCAAGGTATAACCGTCCGGTGCACTCCTCGGAAATCAGCTCCGTAGAGAAGTAAGCCATAGTATCTTATTAATCTACATCACAAGGAACTATATGAGCTACAACCCGGTAAGTTAACGTATGCATGTAGTGTACGTGTATGTATATGCATGTATAAAATACCGATATATGCATAATAAATCATTTTTCTCATGTCATAAACTATTTCATAAATAGTTTGAAAATTCTTTTTTTATCTTTGGACATGTCCCATTTAGGTACTTCAAGGTTTCCATAACATATGTCCGGTGAACCGAGACCCATCCACGGACGCGTCCTACCGAGCCTCTAAAAGTGCACGTCCGCACTTGCCCGGCCCTAAACCATTACCATTACCATATGGAAAACCCATGAAACCCATCCTCATAAAAATCCTCAAAATGATGAAAATTCTTTTCTTTAAAATACTTTCGATTGCTATCGGAAACTCATAGCATAAAATACGTTTCCATAACTTAAAACATTATTCATGAACTTTGGCATGCATATGCATTTTGAATGACAATGCATGCTAACAATGATACTCAAGTACATGTCCTAAATGGTCGTGTAACCATGTTATGAAAACACGACTAAAATCGGACAACATAACAACATAAATAATATCAATCCGTATCAAGCAATATAATCATCATTGGTGCATCAGTTACCATAACCACAATTCTCATCACCAATCACAACTCAAGCATAACCATCATTCATTAATCATTGCATCACATACATTATTGGAAAGAAAATAAAATCATAACACAAGAGTAAGTAAACAATTATATTTCATTTTAGTTTTATTAATTTACTTTACATTTTAACATTTCTAAGTTATTTCCCTTATACTCCTAACTACCCTTTCGCATCTAACATTTACCAAATTAAGTACTAATCCATGTTCTAACTTAATTAAGTATTATTCCATTGATTACGTAGTCCAATTTCGGTTTGGGCCTTAATGGGCCTAAGGTCTAATTTTTCCTAAATCAATTTTTCTTTAGATTTTCATGAACACTTTTATTCTAAACCATCCTTTTACATTATCTTGAGCATGAATGAACTAATTTAGGGTATGGAACTTAATTTAAACTTGATTCCCAAAATTCCTCATTTAGGCCAAATATTTCACCATTTAATTTCTTAAGATTTTCTTCTCAGTTTGCCCTACCATTTTAATACTAAGTATCCTAAATATATATTCATAACAAGAATCAATTTAATTAAAATTTATAACCCTAATTCCTGCCCAAACCCGCATTGGGCCCTAATGGGCCGAAACCGTGCCTAAGCCCACACAACCCATTTTCTTCAATTTTTAGCAAATTTTCCATTTCTAGTCATCAAAACATGCTTATTCAAGTGTGAATTACCCATCAAACCAGAATCAAATTGCTTTGAACTCAAACCCTAATTTATTTAGTTTAGGCCCAATATTATTTCTAAAAATTAGTGGATTTTTCTTCAATTAAAGTGTAATTTTTCATTCCTAAACATTAATTCATACTCAAATAAGTCAGAATAAAGTGTCAAAACACCAATTAAATAAAAGAATTCAAAACCCCCAAATTTAGTTCATTAAGAACCCTAACCCTAATTTTTCTCAATCGAGCAATTAAATCAAATCAAGCAATTAAACATAAAATTGACTTAAAATTAAGCATTCTTGTGGTGTAGGTGATGTTAACTTAAATGATTAAACTCCAAATTAACCTTAAAAAGGTAGGTTGCTTGAAAATCCTCTTTCTCCCCTTTTTCCCCTTAAACTTGAATTAGCTCTTTTACTTTTCTTCTTGAAGGTATTCAGCTCCCAACTCAAAATTGAAGCTTAATATACTGATTTAGAGAGTCTAAAATTGGTTAGGATTATTTTGGGTAATTTTTGAGTGAAAATTTTGTAAGAGTTTCCTTTGTGTTTTTCACTTCTCCTTTCCTTTTTAATTTTTTCAGCACCCTTATTTATAGGAAAATTTTTTTCCTTGTTGATATCATCTCCACCCTCAATTTGGGTAAATATTAGCCCTCAATTCGTTTTTCAATTATTTATTTGCATTCGTCCCATTTTTTGGCCATTTATTCATCTTTTTATTTACCCCTTTCACCTTGCTTATTTTTTTCTATAATTTTTAATGGAAGTCAGAATTAATTAATGCTCTAGGTCGGCCAAAGTTGGAAGGAAAATGACAAATTTTGGTCCTCCAAGTTTCTAGACTTTTCCATAACCTATTCTTTCCTAAATCCCTCTTTTATGCAAAAACTCACTTCTAATCCTCCCTTTTCCATTTATATGAATAATTTTTGACGCTTAACATTCTTACATAAAATTAAACTTTTAATTTTATGCAATTGAGTTCCTAATTTTATACAATTTAGTCCCTACTTTTAAATTCCATACTATACTCTTCAAAAATCCAATTTATTTTCATAATAAATTCAAATATTTATTAAGGGATTTTATTTTAAATTTTCATAATTTTTGGACCTCATTTGAGCCTCTAAATTAATTATTTAGTGTGAAAATCACACCGTTTTTTATTA